TTTTTATTTTGTTGTCATTTTAATTATTTTGACAAAAACTTTCTAATGATATATTTTGTTATAAAATATAACTATTTTATTATAATTTAATAAATTACATAAATAAGTGAAAATAAGTTAAAATAAATTACATAGTAATAACGAAGAATCTTACGAGCGATAAGACTCTTAGCAGGTAAAAGATGCTAACCACAATCCATTTTAATGGTAAAAAATGTTGTCCGATAAAATAAGTGAAAATGATTACTTTTACTGTTAACTATTTACCTAGTAAATGTCCAAAAACCTCATTTGTTTAGGGTGTGTTTGTTCACTTTTCAATAAAAGTCATTAAGAGGTAAAGCTCTTAATGTTGTTTGGTACATTCTTTTGAAGGCCTGAATGATTCAAAATAGTCTGATTCGTTCCCTCAACAATCATCTCCCATACGATTCAGACTGTCATTTTTCCCACGCTGCCCTCGCCTCTCTTCATTCTCTGGATCGTCCCCTTCCCCTCGATTCTCTCCTTACTCCCGATTTTGGTAGTTGTTTCCCTTCACACGGACTACCAATGATCGTCGCACTAGTCATCTCTGCACCCTTGCCTTCGCCGATTCAAGGAGGTAAGAACCTTTGTTCTCATAAATCTCGGTATTTCAGTGATTAGGTGGTGCAATCCCTGTTTCAAAAAATGGTTTAGGGTTTGGTGTTTGAAAGATTTAATTAACAGTCAAAAAGTAAAAACATATGAAAAGAATAGTCCATGTACGCATATGCCTCAATGGAGGTTGGGGTGTGGCTTTTCGGCAACGAGCTACTCATAATAGGGGCATCAAAGACAACGGACTCTACGTAGACCAGCTGCTCCATGGCTATACATTCATGAACCCCAGAACCCCAATTTCCCATCACTTGCAAGAATGGAAGCTACGTGATAAACAATTTTATATACAACTGTTCTGTGATGCAGTAGTTAATGATAAATGTCGTTAAGCGCTTACCTGGTGAATTATTACATAAATGTCGTTTTGATAGACTAAAATCTTACCCGGAAAGTAAGCAATATAGTTGAATTTTACCGTTAAGCGTTCATCGTGTATTCTTGTTGCGTGACCTATTACCGGTTTAGAAGATCAAAATCAATGTAAGTATCAATTTATTATAAGTTAGAATGGTTTAACTTCTTCAAAAATTTCTTATTACCGGTATGACACCGAGTATAATCTGTTTATCCAAACACTCAAAAGTGTTTATTACCAATGTCACACCGAAATAAGTCAATAAGTTGTTTTTATAAACAATCCCAATCACCTCTTAAAGTTATGTTTTATAACTACAAAACAAAGGGGTTTTACGGGTAGATTTTTCTGTTGCAAATTTCTGAAGGATAACTGACAAGTTTGTCTGCCGGTGAGATCCGCTAATAATGGTTTTTCCCAACGAATTATCAACAAATTTTTACAACGATAAAACCTTTTTGTTTTGTAGTGTTTTAAAGGCATTGTTTTTTCAAAGTCTATTACTTAGATATGCTTTATGTAACACTCCCAAAGTTCAAAGCAACGGACTGACCAATAACTTCGGATCCACCTTAAAACTATGATGAAAGTTATTGGTAGGCTTATAAGAAGCTAGCAATTCTTAGCTCTTATCCATGTGCGACGATAGCTATATAAAATGGTGTAGACAACTCAATCCCAATAATGATTTGGATTATAAGAGACTTTTTGTTTGTGAAATAACAGCAATTTTTTCAATTCATGTGTTTCAAAGTTAGAAAATTCTTCCCACCAATCTGAGTCCAACGACTCGCATCCTCCATACCAAGTCGTCTTGTAGACCCAACTCAAAAGGTAGCAATTTTATATACGAGACCATGACCAAGTCAACACAACCCTTTCTTCGTCCAACGTGTCCAAGAGATTACAAATACTTTGAATCCTTTTTCGTAACCCCTTTTACCCATTTCTTGATTTCTTGAATTCCTTGCTTCATATATGCCTGCAAACCCCAATATATTTCACCACCAATTTTGTTCTTTAATTACCCTCCAAGATTTTGTTATACTTCAAACCCACATCAAATCTTTGGTTTAAATCGTGAAAAGAGGACCCGAAAACCAGATATGGAAGAGATTGTTTCTTTGATCTTTCATGGGGGGAAGTTAGTTAAAGAGCTTGAAGAAAGCCTACCCAACATAGCAAACCAACCCCATGTTCTTATTAGTTCATGTGATGAGATAAGTAGGGTTTTTGGCAACGCGAGGGAACAGTTGACGTTGGCGGTGCAGGACTACGGCACCCACCACGAGTCGCTACCACAAATGGAGGTTGGTGGTGGATCAGTGCCGGAATGGCTAAGGAGTTCGCATGCAACGGATATGGGGTTACAAATGAATTCAATTTACTAGAATACCCTTGTAAGGATAAAATGAACAAGACATAAACCTATAAGAATAATGAAATTTGATTGGTTTAGAGGGTTTTCAAAGTTAACACAAAAATGATGGTTAATATATATATATATATATATCGAGTTCAACATGAAGCATTGGAAGTTTCTTGATGCAAATCTTGAAAGTTGAATATCCAGGTTAAAGATTACCTTTTTAAAAATCCAATTTAGCTACGAAGGTTCAAATGCAATAACTTTGGGTTATCTGCAAATCAGATGGTCGTCCTGGTATTAGTCGGCTCGCATAGTGAGTTGGATATCCAGGTTAATAAAAAAAAGCAGGTTAAAGATTACCTTTTTACTAGTTTGAATTCAAAGTTTGTGTATATGAGATGGTCTTCTTACCACGGCATTTGTTCACTTTCTTTCTTGAATATTCAATATTTCAAACATTTGATAAACATGGACTTGGCATTCTAGATGAACATTTTTGAATATGTTTCAATTTTGGTCCTTTGTATTTCAGGGGATATTACAGATGCACCCATCAAAAATTATACAATTGTCCGGCTAAAAAACATGTTCAAAGACTAAACAACGATCCCTACACTTTCGAAGGAACATATCAGGGAGAACATACATGTATCATGTCCTCCACCGCTCCTTCCATGCCACCACCATCGTTACTGTACCAGAAGCAATGAACTCCCCGCCCATTTTTTTCCGGCAACCCCCTCCAAAGAATGATTGTCAAGGAGGATCCAAGTAGCTGTAGCAGAGACGGTCACTGAAACAAGGATTACAACCACCAAACTTATGGTTTTCGACTTTTCGTTAATTTCAACCAATTTCTTGTGGGTGTTCGTGAAGTATACATATACCCATCGATGGACTCACAAAACCTGTGATTCAGCCGTTAGGGTTCGAAAGAAGGGTCAAGCTCGATCTCAGGCGAGATTGGACCTGAAAAACTATTTGATTCCGGATCAAGAAGTGTCAATTCCGCAAGTTATTTGATGGATTCAGGGATCGAACCCTTTTACATGATTTCTTTAGCTTGACCATTTTTTAACAAACCATAATTACAATTACCTATAATCTTCCTTTTTCCAAATCTGAATTCGTTCTAGATTTTGATTTAAGGGAGGAGGATTTCAATATTTTCGGTGAGGAGAAGTGGAAGCGTGTTGCTGCCGTGAGTAGCGATGGTGGTGGTGTTGCTTTGCCAAACAGGGGGTTTGGGGAATGTTGGTGCTGGTGATGAGGATTTTATAAGGGTTTTGGGATGTTCACCGGAGAATAGGGGAAAGGGGTGTTTTTCACAGAGAAGAGGGACGCCGTTGATGGAAGTCGCCGGAGGGGAAGGGATGACGAGAATGGGGGCTTATATTCAGGTATGTGATTTAACAGGGAAAATCACCAAAATATACCCGATATATTAATGAAATAACCATTTTTTTACGAAATTGCCGAAACGACCACATGGATCTCTCCCGGGGGGAACCCCTTCTTTTTCAACAAAAGAGTACAAAAAATTATTTAAAAAATCATTTTTGGTGGGTCCCACATGTATCACTTTATTTTTATTTATTTATTTTTATTTTTTTAATATCGATTAAGGGGTGTTTTTAATAAATATGAAACGATATTTAAACAGTTTTTTTACCTTTTTAGGACCAAATGTCACGGTTTTAGTATATAAAATAAAAAAATTTACTCTCACAACCCGTAAACATAATCTACCGTGACAAACTTTATAAAAATATAATTGTACGTGAACATTTCTAATTTTACCAAAAAAAATTAAACGCATAAACTAAACAACGAATGTTGTTATATTTTTTTCTTATAAGAAATGTTAATATTCTATAATAATTGTGGAGACGAAAAAAATTGTTTGTATCTAATTTGGTGGATAAAAATCATGTTTTTTATGTTGAATCTTATTTACGTCCATCGAATCAGATAAAAATAATTTTTGCATATCTACAATTATCATGGTTTTATTTTTAAACTTATAACCATGAAATTTGGTCCTAAAAAGGTAAAAAAAAAAACAGTTTAAATATTATTTTTTTTTTGTTAAAAACACCTCGAAAAGAAAATGGAAGAAAATAAAATAGGACAGATCGCCCCCGGGGGTGATTGGATGACGTGGATTTCCCCCGGGGGTAGATCCACGCAAAACGAGATGAATAGTATTGTACCCTAAAGTGATGCATGTGGGACCCACCAAAAATAATTTTTAAGTTGTTTTTTGTACTTTTTTGGTAAAAAAGAAGGGGATCGCCCCGGGAGAATCCATGTGGTCGTTTTGGCAATTTCGTGAAAAAATGATTATTTGGTTAATATATCGGGTATATTTTGGTCATTTTGGTGATTTTCTCATTTAAATATCATATCATATACATGGTTCTAAATAACTTGTTATGGTCTCGTTATGGCTTCAAGGCTTAGGTTCGCCGTTACGTTAACCCCCATAGCTCCACTCTAAGGTTTTGTTTGCATTATGGCACGTTACGACACGTTATTTTGTAAAATGTGGGTTATTTTTAAGATATAACTTGAGGGATAAATGATAATGATGTAGAGATTTAAGATTTAAATAAACAAAAGAATCTTAAAAAATAAAACCTTAAATAGGTAAATACTTACTCATATTCCCATACATTAAATGTCGAACATGAATTCTTTGAAAATTTAATGAAGTAGTTAATAGAGATTCAAGAGATTTAATCCCGATTTTACATTCTTGATTTCATTTTTTATAAGCTCTGTACAATTGGTATGAATGGTTTTTCTTTATTTTTTAATTTTATTACTTTATATGAATATCAATTGTTCTACAGTATTATTTAAAACATTAATACATACAAATTTGTGTAAATATGTCGTCTTAGGTCACACCTTGAAAACGCCATAGCCTCGCCGTAACTCGTAAGGCTTGAGGCTTGATATTGTCGTCTCATCACATTTCACGTCATTTAGAACCATGATCATATATTATTTAGTAAAAAAAATTCAGAAAATGGTAAGATTAGTACAATGCTCTTGATTTACCGAACAATTTTTAACAGAGTCACACGTACTTTGAGAGCCAAGTCGAGTCGAATAGTAGGTTATTCGAGCTTGGTTCAGGTTCAGGTTCAGGTTTAGGTTCAGGTTCGAGTTCAATCAACTATTTCAAAGTCGGTCTCGAGCTCAAATATTTTATCAATGTTTGAGCTCGATGTTTCATGTGTTCGAATCCGAAATCGATTAACTCGTTTATTTACTCAAACTCGATGATTCTTATATTTTGATTACATAATTTGCAAACATAAATATGTTTAACTCAAAAAAGTGTATGGTTGAATGGCTCGACTCGTAAATTTAATCGAGCTTTCGAACAAGTCGAGTCGAACATCGGTATTATGGAGCTTGACTTGTTAAGTTAAAATATCTTTATTTTGTGTTCGAGATCGACTCAAGTTAGAGAATTATTAAGCTCAAGCTCGAGATAAAACGCGTTCGATCTCTGAGTAACTCGTTAAAAGCTCGACTCGTTTACACCCTACGTTATAAACAACAAACTCTAAGAACGAAAACAGTTATAACCAACCGAATTACATTTCATATATTGGTTTTGTGATTTGGAATATAGAGACTATTTGTTATTATATTTAGGGTTATGTTTGACAAACTAGCCAATAACTAATAAGTTATTGTGTAGCTGATAAAGTAGCTGAAAAATAAATCATGTTTAGCAAAAACTAGCTGATAAATATGTAAAAGGATCAAAAATAACATCTTGAAAAATTAGTCAAAAAAAAGTATTTTAAAATATATTAAAACAGATATTTTAATAATATAATATATTAATACAAATATACTAATTAATTAGTATTTTTTTCAAAAACTATAATTAACAATTTAATTAAATATTTTATTGAAATCATTTAACACAGTTTTATTATMTATGAAACAAAATAATTATAACTTTAGTTTTTATGTAAACACATAAATTTGATAGATATCTTGTATATGATTTCAATAA